CTGAAATGAATCTTATGGAATTGATGTACCTTCAAAAGTAGTTTATATTAACACCAAAGTCTAGGGTAGGTATTTTAGCTATGAAGTTATCCCAATGGACACACAGCTGTGAAAATATAAAATATAGAAGTCTCTGTAAGTGTGTCTGTGTGTGTGTGTGTGTGTGTGTGTGTGCGCGCGCGCGCGCGTCAACTGGAAAATGCACTCAGGGCCTTCACACTGAGATATATCTCTGGCCAGAAACAATGGGGCCAGCTGACCATAGACAGAAACCACTGAGACTATGAGCCAAAACAAATCTTTCCTCCTTTAAATTATTCTCAGGTTATTTTGTTACAGAAAATAGAAAGGGGGCTAATACAACCATAGAACAATGTTTCAGTCAACCATGGGCTACACGGATCATTAAGATCACATAAGAGTACAAGACGGAGATGGGCATGTAGTACATGCGTGTCACCCCAGCATGCAGGAGGCTAAGGCAAGAGGATCACCATGAGTTCAAGGTCACCTGGAACTACATAGTCAGACTCTATCTCAAAACAAAACAAAATGAAACATGGGGGCTGGGGATTTAGCTTAGTGATTCCACTGCTTGCCTTACAAGCTAAGCTCAAGGACCAGTTAGATCCCCAGTACCAAAAAAACAAAACAAAACACCAACACAACAATAAATGAAAAAAGAGTTTAAGATGTAGGGCAGGGTGAAGGGGGTGAAGGGAGGGCAGGGGTATGGGGAAAAAATGAGAGCCAAGATCTGTCATGTAAAGGTACAAGATCCCAATGATGAATGTAACTGTACTGTATACTTAAAAAGTACCAATAAACTCAGTAAGATTAAAAAAAAAGTGCAAGACGGATTATGACATCACACCCATCTTAGTGAACTGTGCATGCCGTATGATGCTGACACAAAGTCATGAGAACATCTAACCACAAATCTCCAGGGACATACCCTGTCATTAAGCCCTTGGAATTAATGTGGCCCAGTGTCCACAATGGAAAGTCACCCCAGCTGGGCCAGTGGCCAGAGGTCCTGAGTGGGTCAGCAGCTGTGATGGCTGCAAGTGCATCCAGTGCTTAGCACAGAGACTGGACAGGTAGGTTCCTCCTCACGGAAAGGCTGACTGATGTCACCAGGGGCCTGGGGTTTGGGCTGTTACTACATCTCTCAGCACCTGTATAGCCTGTATCTAGATGTCCCCTCAAAGCCTCATGCAGTCATAGGTGGGGCTTTCTGGAGATGGCTGGATCTAGGACATATGCTGCTGGGGTCCAGGATGTGATGCTGGGACTGACTACCATGAGATGCCAGGATTAAGGCTGTGTTACCTGTCCTAAGGGTGGGTAGCCTTGATGAAATACAAGGCACAGAAAGAGGGTTGCTGCTTCTCACTGGCTGCTTGCTTCCTTGCTACTTAGTTGCTTTGATGCCTTCCTGCCTTCTCATCATGAACTGTTTCACCTCTACCATGTTGTCCTGTCTTGGAGTCAGCCAACTATGAACTGAAACACCTAAAAACTATGAGCCAAAATAAACCTTTCCTCCTTTAATTGTGGGTGTCAGGTGTTTTGTCTCAAAAATAAGTAACAGCTGGGCGTGGTGGCCCACGCCTATAATCCCAGCACTTGGGAGGCTGAGGAAGGAGAATCACTGTTGAGTTTGAGACCAGCCTGGGCTACATAGTGAGTTCCAGGTCAGTCTCAACTACATAGTGAGACCCTGTCTCAACAAACAAAACAAAACAAAAAGAGTAACAAAGACAGCATGGAAGCAACTGTTATCTCACAGCAAATAAAGTTCTTACTGACAGTTATGATTAGCTTTAAAAATGGATAGACCTAGGCTCAGTGCCCCGAGCCTGGGAGGTTGAAGCAGGAGGATCAGAAGTTCTAGCCTAGAGCAGCATGATGGCCACATTTGTAATCCTACCATCTCAGAGGCTGATAGGATTACCAAGGCCACCATGACTACAGAGTGAAACCTTGGTTGGTTTTTAAGGCCTTCATGTTTTGTGTTTAATATTAATATGCCAGCTGGGCGTGGTGGCGCATACCTGTAATCCCAGCACTCAGGAGGCTGAGGCAGGAGGATCTCTGTGATTTCGAGACCAGCCTGGGCTACACAGTGAGTTCCAGGTCAGACTCAACCACATAGTGAGACCCTGTCTCAAAAAACAAAACAAAACAAAACAAAACAAAAAAACCAAAAACAAACAAACAAAATTAATATGCCGTGATGCCTGTTTTTTTTTGTTTTTTTTTTCAGTTTTGTAGTACTGAGGTTTGAGCCCAGGACCTTCACATTGATGCATTAAGCTATATTTCCAGCCTTTTTGTATTTATTTGAGATGGTTTTGCTAAGTTGCCAGGCAGAAACTGAATTTGTGATCCTCCTGCCTCAGCCTCCCAGAGTGCTGGGATTACCAGCTTGAAGTAGCATAGCTACCTGCTTTGAGACAGGGTCCTACTGTATAGCCAAGCTGGCCTCCAACTCGGGTCTGTCCTACCTCAGGCTCCTCCCACCCAAACCTCTGCTGGGATTATAGGCACTTGCCACCAAATGTGTTCCCTTCTATATTCTTTCTTTCTTCTTTTCTTTTCTTTGGTTTTTTGAGACAGGGTCTCACTAAGTAGTTGAGACTGACCTGGAACTCACTATGCAGCCCAGGCTGGTCTCCAACTCACAGTTAATTCTCCTGCCTCAGCCTCTCAAGGGCTGGAATCACAGGCATGCACCACCATGCCTGGCTTATTCTTTTCCTTTAAGTCCAGGGGTTGAAGCCAGAGATTCACACTAAGCTACAACCCCAGTGCATTTTTTCATTTTGAAACAGGATCTCGCTGAGTTACCCAAACTGGGCTGGAACTTGTGATCTTCCTGCCTCAGCTGTCCAAGTAGCTGGAATTATAGGCATACAACAGTGTATGGCGCTCCTCCCATTATGTCAGGTTGCATTTACTCAGTTTGTCATTGTGTGTGGTGGGGGTACAGGGATTGAACTCAGGCCTTTGTACTGAGCCATCCCACATCCTTGTTTTTGATTTGTTTTGACCAAAGTAACAAATTTAGTTGACAGGCTGCAATAAGATTCATAAAGACAGTGAATATAAACTTAGGTATATTTTTATGCTGGTTATTTTTGTTTTTTAAATGTAAGCCACCACTGGACATGGTGGTGCATGCCTGAAATCCCAGCAGTCAGGAGGGTGAGGCAGAAGGATCACCAGGAGTTCAAGGCCAGTTTGGGCTACATATTGAGTTCAAGGCCAGCCTAAATTATAAATCAAGACTTTGTCTCAAAAAATCAAAAACAGACAAACTAAAAAGGCCACTAGTATTTTTTAATTAAAAAAATATAAGAAGAAATTGATAATTTCCATGAATGTTGTTAACTGTGTATGGCTGTGTTATGGTCTATATATCTTTTTTTTTTTTTTTTTTTCTTTTTTGGTACCAGAGATTGAGCTCAGGTCCTTGCACTTGAGAAGCAGGCAGCAGAATCACTGAGCTAAATCCCTGGCACACTGGTTTTAGATTTGGAGACCTGGTCTTGTTAAAGAGTCCCAGGTCAGCCTGGAACATGGTGACCCTCCTTCCTTGTCTCCCAGGAGGCTGGGGTTATAGGTATGCACGCACCACCACATCCAACTACCAATTCTAACTTTTTGGTTTAGCATACACTTAATTTAGCTGAATTATGGCAGTTATTTTATACATGTCATCTGTGCTTTCTAGTTGTGGAGTAGTTGATCTGTTAGGATCTACCCAGCCATTCCTGGAAGCAGAATGATGACCAGGAGTGAAGTAGTCAGGTTCAGAAACACAGCCTCTGTTAGTGACTTTGATTCAGGTCCATTGGAGGAACAAGAGCAAAGCCTTATGGGGGAGTGGCTGGGTGGAGGGTGCAGACCTGAGTGCCAGCAACTTGGGAGGCTGAGGCAGCAGCATCCTAAGTTCTAGGCTAACCTTGGCAACTGAACAAGTAGGGCTGGGGGCTGGGGACCTGGCTAAGTGATGGAGCATGGGAGCACTTGCCTAACATGCTGGGGGCTCTGAGTTTAGTCCCTGTTGTCAGAGAGAGAGAGGAATTAAAAAAGAGGAATACACAACTCTTTCTGGGAGTTTGGACTCAGAATGAGCAAGGGGTGGGGTGATCTCTGGTAGAAGTGAGTTAAGTTTTCTGTTTTATCACGAAAATTTAAAGAATGATAATACTCCTATGTCTGCCTCATAGGTTCAGCCATAATGGGCATTTGATCAGATTTGCTTTCTCTTTTCTTCTTTGACCATTTCAGAGTGGTTTGCAGATTTCATCTCCAAGAATTTTAACATGAACCTTAGAATATAGGAACTCTCTTTCTTAATTGTTTTCTTGTTGCTGGGACAGAATACCTGATATCCAAAGTTAAAGGAGGAAAGGTTTATCTAGAGTAGAGGTTTATCTCAGTAGTTAGTAGAGATTTCAGTTCATAGTCAGCTGGCTCCAAGGCAGGATGGCATGGCAGAGGGGCATCACAGTAGAGAAACAATCCATGGCAAAGCAGGCAGGAGGCAGCAGCAGGCTTCCCTCTGCTTTCCCTTTTATTCTATCCAGACTACATGTTTATTGGTTGGTGCCACCCCCACCCAGGGTGAGGCTTCTGTTTCTTACAATCCCATCACACACAACTATACTAAAGCAATCAGTGGACTGATCCAGTATCACACGTCCATGATCCAGTTTACTCCCACAAGTCCCATCTACGAGCACATAAGGCTTTGGGAGGATATCAAGATATAGATTAGGGAAGCCAGGAGTGGTGGACATATAAGTAGACATATAAGGAATAGGAAACAGACCCTTACTCAAGAAAAGAGGCAGAGAATGAGACCTACCCAGCCATGACCCAGAGAAGAGAATTAAGGGGTAAGGCTCTTACACCAGCAATTGCCACCAAAGGAAAATAGCTTTGTAATGACTAACAACACAATTGATCTCAGTTTAGAAACAAGGCTACAGAAGGCTAGCTATGTAGTTCACTGGCTGCATGAGAGATTGAGGACCTGAGCTTAATCCCCAACACTGACTAAAACAACCAGCCTCCCTCAACCCCCAACACACACACACACAGAGGAAAGAAATCTGTCATCAGCAGATCTGCATTGCTAGAAGAACCTCTTGTGGAGCCCTGAGATCTCAGTTACTTGGAAGGCTAAGGCAAGAGGATCATGAGTTTGAGTCCAGCCTGACAGCCTGGACAAAGACACAGTTTCAAAAAACACAAAAGAGGACCAGGGATTTAGCTAAGTGGTGCTGCAGCCTGCCTAGCAAGCACAAGGTCTTGAGTTCAAACCTAGGTAGCACCCCCCAAAAAACAAAACACCATAAAAGAAAAAGGCTGGGGATGTGGTTTAGCCCAAAGGCCCAGGGTTTAAGTCCCAGAAGCTCCCCAGTCCATCCACATAATGTAGCTCCTCCCTTCCCAGGTCCTAGCCACAGGCCCCTCAGGCAGGAACATCTGTGCCTGGGGCCCGCACACCAGTTCTTCCTTGGCCTGGTGTTTACAGTACTGACCTTCTACTGAGACCTGGACGGGTTATCTCACAGTCTCCCAGATCAGCCATCCATCCAGTAGGGCAAACCTTACCATCCCTTTACAATTAAAACTTCTGGTGGGAAAAGCAAATAAACAAAAGTACCACTTGTCTTCTAAACCTAGTGTCCGTGTTAGTTTGCCTGCATTTTTTTTTTTTTTTTTTTTGCAGTGCCATGGATTGAACTCAGGACCTTGCACTTTCAAGGGCAGGCACCGCACCACTGAGCTAAATCCCCAGCCCAACTTTTTTTTGTGTGTGCCAAGGATTGAACCTGGGTCCTTGTGCTTGTGAGGCAGGCGCTGGAACCACTGAGTTAAATCCCTGGCCCCCAACTTTTAACATACTGGATTTTCCTTATAATGTTTATGTCTCACCATTTCTCTCTCCTGGCATGTAAATTTCACAATGACAAGAGCTCTGTTTCCCTTGCCCACTGCTGTATGTGTCCCCATAACTAATTAAGACATTACACTGATGGGCCTTAATTCCCTCCCTCCCTCTCTCCAGGACCCTGTACCTCTGCAGAGTCACTGGCCTGGACTCTTGAATATAGGAAGATTATTCCATCTTAAGGACCAGGTTCTATCTACCCTGCTCTGCCCACCCTCATCCCCTCCACCAGGGACCAGACTCAGGACTTTGTGCTTGCAAAGTTGGTGCAGTGCCACTGAGCTAAATCCCAGGTCTGGTCCCTACTCTCTGGAATACTCCTTCTGCTCCAACACTATGTCTTCTTCAAAGTGGCCTTCCCTGCCACCCCATCTGAGGTGCCTACTCACCTGTGAGGGTTGGGCTGGCTTCAAACTCCTTAGCTCAAGAAATCCTCCTGTCTCTGCCTTCCCAGGAGCTGAGAATATAGGCACAGAGCACTGCTCCCAGCTCTCAGCCACATTCTCGACACACTGCCTGATTTTGACTCTCTGTAGAGCTGTTATTAGCACATCCCTGAAATCTGTTTATAGATCAGCTCTCCGCACAGCTATCTGCCCTCTTAAACCCCATCCCTACCACAAGGCACCTGGGAGCTGGAGCCTTCACCATGATCCTCACAGTACCTCCAGCACCTGGGCTGGTACTGATGTGGAAACACTCTGAGTGGTTAAGTGACATGGGTCTTTTGGGTAGCAGGAGTTTCTCTATTCTTCCAAGGTACATGCTGTCCCTGGGGCTACGTGATGCCAGTGACAGAAAGAGAAGGCCCCTGGTGGGTGCCTCACCTCTGAATGGTCTCCTCTTGCTCCTTTACCATGTGTGCCAGCTGCTGAAAGATGGAGCCCAACTCGACAATTGTGGACTCGATATTCTGCATGGTGTCTGCCCGGCTCTGGATGTAGGAATCCTTCAGGAGGGATAGAACAATGAGCACCAGGCCCTCCATGAGGAGGCCAGGTCTTCAGGACCTTCCCAGCTGGCTATTCCACCCACCCACCCGCCAGAAGACTGAGTCCCAGAGTAGGTACCTGCTCATCAATGAGTTGCAGCTGCTGACTGGTCCGTGCATCCACCATGTCAATGGCTACCTCCTGGGAGGCGTGGGACTCAGCTCCTAGAACCACAGGGCTGCCACCTGGGGGAGGAGAGGGGACGTGACACATCTGAATGGTAAAAACAGGTCCAAAGCCCAGATGCTCTGAAGTGAGTCCCAGGTCTGGCACTCACTAGCCTTGCAACCCTGGATAGGTCATCTAACCTGTCTGAGCCTCAGTCTCCTTACCTGTGAAATGAGGTTGACAGTTTTTGCTTTTTCATAGGGTGATTGTGACAATTATATGACTAAGTACACAAAAATCACTCATTCTTGTAAGACTGAGTTCACCCAGCATGAAAACGTGGAATACACAGCTTGGATTTCAAGGAGACTCACCTAGGTGGTTGGGGGCGAGAGGCAAGGCAGACATGGGTGCCCGGGAGAACTGTTCCCGCCGGCTTCTCTGCTGCTTCAGGTTCTGCAGTGGGTCAGAAGGCAAAGGTCCTGAGGCCTCTGGAGAATGGGTGAGCTAGAGGGCCCTCCTGCTGGTCCTATGGCCCCAAGCACCTGTCCCTTCCCTATTTCCCCTGGGCCTTACCCCATATTCCTATCCCTCTCACCTCTGTCCTCACTTCTAATACCGATTTGAAGTCATTGGACATAGAAGCCAGTTTCGACTAGAAGAAAAGGAGAGGAGTCAGTTGGAAATGAAACTCCCCCTGCCCCCACCCCCACCCCCAGACTCCCCTGCACTGTCATAGAAGCCAGTTTCGACTAGAAGAAAAGGAGAGGAGTCAGTTGGAAATGAAACTCCCCCTGCCCCCACCCCCACCCCCAGAATCCCACCTGCAGTGAGACCACAATGGTGTTGGAATGTGTCTGCAGGTGCCGGCCACTCTGGCTGCCCTTGGCCCTCACGAAGTCCTGAAGCTGAGCGATCTGCTTGTTGAGACTATTGATGTCCTAGTAAAAGAACCCACAGAAGACCCAGTGTTAACAGGGTCCTCAGCCAGTGTTCCACCCAGGCTATCTCAGTAGGGAAGAGGGCAGGGTGGAAACTACTAGCCGAAGCTACAATGGTCCCTAAGTTTTTCCAGCTCTGGCTCAGCCCCTGACCAGCAGAGCCTTATCCATTCCTATGTGTTAGCTTGTTTACCCCTCCACCTCAGTGCCCTGCCTCCACCCTGTGAGGCACAGAATACAATGCCCAGCAAAGCACTGGATGATATTCAGGAAAAGGGAAGAGACAGAATTCCTAATACTGCAGCAAGAGAGCAAGAGCTGTAACTTGTCCAAGGTCACACACTGGTCACATAGCCATGCTGTCTACACTAGACCATGTGTCTTCTGCTTGGTCCTCACCCAGCTTGCCAAGAAATAAGGGAGATGAAGGAGGAAGCCAGGCGGTGGCAAAGAAAGCTCATCCCGGCACAACCAGAGCCAGGGAGGGGCCGGAAGGAAGAGAAGACACAAAAAATAATGAGGATAAGAAACAGGCTAAACAGGGAAAGGTGGGGCACAACTATAATCCCAGCTATCTGAGAGGCTGAGATAAAAGGTAATTCAATCTACGCCCACAAAACTTAGCCATATAATAGTGAGAACTTGCCTCAAAAAAAAAAAATATCTTTTTTGGGGGGTACTGGGGGTCAAACTCAGACCTTGCACTGTGAGGCAGGTGTGGGACCACTGAGCTAAATCCCTGGCCCAAGATAAATTTTTTTATTTTGGTACTGGAGATCGAACTCAGGTCCTTGTGCTTTTGAGGCAGGCAGCAGTAATACTGAACTAAACCCCGGCCCTTCAAGATAAAAATTTCTCTTCCCTCCAAGATAAATTTTGAAAAAAGAGTTAGGATGTAGCTCAGTGAGGAAGACCCTGAGTTCCATCTCCTAGGGGAGGGGGGAATCTCTAAGAATCTTCTAAATGATTATCCTTCTAACAACCCATATGCTATTCAGGAGCTAGAGTGACCTTCTAAACCAAACATCAGGCAGTGTCATCCCTTTGCTTAAAAACCTCCCAGAAGCTGTCTGCCCCACTGAGGACATGGCCCCCTCCTGAGTGGTGCTGTATGTTCTGTGCCTTCCCTACCCACTTGCTGCAGCCACACAGGCCCCTCCCTGGCCATCGCACACACACACGCCAAGGTCACAGCAGTGAACCCTCCCTTGTGCTCTTCCTTCTAAATGATATTCTCACTTCTGGAATGTGCTCTGCCAGATCTGTGGATGGCCTGCTCTTCCTCACCATTTGTGCCTTGACTGCGACTTCTTCAGCCAGGCCATCCTAGATGACCTCATGTAAACAACTCCTGTCCCTGAAAAATTCACTTAATGTTTCCAGTGATTGAAAAATGGACCTCACAAGGACTCTGTGAAGCAGGCACTATTATAACTAAGCCCTAGAAGGCAGCTCAGACAGTGGGAACCCCCCAAGGTTCCAAGAGGCAGACCTACCTGGAACCATGCCTCTCAGTCCAGTGGGCCAGTCGGGCGGGCCTAAGCAGGAACCATGGTGGATGAAGAGCTGTCTCCCCACCAGCACAGCACCACTTCACCACATCTGGCCTCTGGCCTCTGCTACTGTCATTCTGTACAGTACAAGTGCAGCAGCCTCTTCCCTGGCTCTGCCCTTTGAGCGCGAAGCCACACTCCACCTGTGTCCAGAGCACTCAGGACCGCGCTGCTGCTGTCACAGCCAGCCACCAACCTGCCTTTCCAACCCATTCAACCGACAGTCAGTGATTGCAGTCAAACACTGGTAAACGCCTTGGGATACATCTGTAAATAAGCTGGAAAGACAGTCCCCTGCTCTGATGCTATCTACGTATTTCTTATTTTTCTCTTAAAAACCTTTGGAAATGGGGAAGGGACCAAGAAAGGGAGGGAGTGGATAGGGAGGAGAAGAGGACATAAAAAGAGTTAGGATGTGAGGTACAGGTACCAACTCCCCATGATAAATGCAATCACTGTGTACTACAAAAGTGCACTAACAAAAATATAAAGTAAAAACAAAACAAAACAAAAACCCAACTTTTTCTCCATACAGAGGATTGAACCCAGGGTCTTCACAATGAGCTACACTTCCAGCCATTTCTAAATTTTGAGACAGGGTCTTGCTAAGTAACAAAGTTGCCCAGGCTGGGCTCAAACTTATGATCCTTCTGCCTCAGCCTCCCAGCATCCTTGGATTAGAAATATATGCCATCATGTCCTGCTTTTTGTTTGGGAGGGGTGGGGTGTGAGGTAGATGGGAAGGAACAGAGACAAACAACAAATGTGGCTAATTACAGAGAAGGTTGGACAGCACAAATGCTATGAAAAAAGAAAGCAGCAAAAAAGCTCAGAGTTGGGATGATGTACTACTAACACCATGTCTGCGGTAGGTCCCCCTGACCAGGTGACAGCCTCCCACTGCATCTGCACAGCTCAGGTTTTACCTCCTTATCAAATTCCCCCAGCATCCCCACACTATTTTTTACTAGAGCTTTTCTAAGGCTAGACTTATAAGGCTGGACTGTTTTCCTAAATAAACTCAAAGGCAGAAATCACGCCTCAGGTTTGTCTCCTCAGTGCCCAGTACACTGCCTTTCACATGGCAGATGACCATTAAGTGTCAATGGAGTCAATGGAGAAGCCAAGTATTGAGGGTTGGCTTGGGGCCTCCAAGCAGTACCAAGAGCTGGATGTGATCTGCTTAGAATGCAGGGTGACTGAATTGCCAGCAGCTCACCTGTTTGATGATATATGTTAGCTCCTCAATTTCTACTGCTTTATCATCAAAGAGGGACTTGCGCTTAGCCACTGTAGAGATAAGAGACATGATGTTATAAGAAGATTCAGTGGGCTTCCATTGACCGTGGCTCACTGGTAGAGCACTGGCCTACCATGCATAAGTCTTGGGCTTGACTGCCACCACCCCCTCCAAAGAAACACAGCTCAAGGGTCTGGCCTCTTGGCCTCTATGTCTCATTACCACACTTCTGAAAGACTTTTAACACTCACAGATTGTCAGCTTCTCTAGCTTGGCAAATGTGTTGCTGAGGTCTTTCCCAATATGCCTGCAAAGGATCAGTAGTGAGAACACTCTGGAAGGTAAGAGAGGGACTATTCCCCCATTAGCTCCAGCTCAACCCATCACAGCCCTCACAACCAAACCACCATAGGCAAGCTCTCTTTTGAGTCAGGACCTCACCACAAAGAGTGCTCCACTTACTTGGCCATAAGGGTAAATTCACTATGCTGTCGGGCAGCACGCAGAGCTGGCTTATTTGTCTGGATTCCATTCTGAAAAGTAAAGTCAAGAGGGGCTACCTCAGTTTCCCCCTACCCATTTCCAGCTTTCACTGTTCCTCACGTGTCCACTAAATTTTCTCTAATACTGGTGGCATCCAACGTCTGTTGATCTAGATCAGTCAGCAGTAGCGCAGCCTAGTAGAAGACAAGTAAACTCGTGTCTTCACTCTGACATTTAGGAGATGGGGAATTTGTGCAAATAAACTATTTTGAATCTTTTTCCTCTTTATAAAATGAAAACAATTCACCCACCACCTACTGCTTTCAAGATTAGATACATAAAAGCTGTAAAGTACTTTAGACAACCCTAATACATTCTTAATCACTAAATGAATGCCAACTAATATTGCGATTCTACTCCTGGAATCAGGGACTCAAGAAGGAAAACTGGAAAGTACTGAGTTTTCATATAGAAAAGCAACTGTTGATAGGAGTTGAACAGTAACAATTTTTAAAAAGTTACTCAGGGCTGGGGATTAAGCTCAGTGGTGCCACAGTGCAAGGTCCCCAATCAATTCAATCCCTGCTACTAAACAACAAAAAAAAAAGTGATTCAGAAACTTCAATTTAGAAAGTCAAGAGTGAAATAAAGCAACCTAATACTCAAAAGAGAACTCAAGTGATTTTGATAAAAATTGCTGATCTAAGCCGGAGTGGTGGTGCATTCCTGTAATCCCAGCACTTGGGAGGCTGAGGCAGGAGGATCGCTGTGAGTTCAAGACCAGCTTGGGCTACATAGTGAGTTCTAGGTCAGTCTCAACTACATAGTGAGACCCTGTCTCAAAAATCAAAACCACCACCAACAACAAAAATTGCTGATCTAGAAAACTTACTTCCTCTCCACCATTTTGTATCTTTTAAAGAAAAACTGAGGCACAGCTAAATTAGCTTCCCCATGACTGCAGAGCAAGTCAAGTCTGTTAGAACTAGCTGGAACTCGGACTCAGGTGCGTTTCCGCCTACAGGCTCCTTTGGGAAGTACTTTCTAATCCAAACCAAACAACTCACCGCAGCAGTCCACAGGGGTAGTGATCCTACGCTCTGCGGGTTGCTGAACCCCAGATCCTCGCGTCCACTTCGCAAGCTTGTAAGATCTTCAAGGACCCTAGACCCGCACAGCCCCCGTCCCCCGGGCTCACCTGCCGGCTCTGCAGAGACCTGCAGGCGGACAGAAACTCCTGGGTTCGGTCCCGGCAGGACATGGTCTCTGGCGGAGGCTGGGAAGGGGCCAGCGCCGCGGGCGGGGGCGCAGGGGCGATGTCGCAGCGGCCTGTGCCCGAAGATGGAGGGGACAGCACTTGAGTCTTCGAGAGCCCCAGGTACACGCCTTGGTCCGTGTTCTTAGCCCCGTGTCGTTTCCGCGGGATCATCGGGCCACATCACCTCGGACCTTGGCAGAGGGGAGAGCGTCATCGCGGCCGCCGCCTTCCCGCGCTCCCGGCCCGACTCGGGCCCCGACCCCCCGCTCGGCTCTTCGAGGTGGGAAGGGCCCGCTTCGACCTGCTCCAACCAGCTGAGCGGCCACTTACTGGGAGACTCAGCCGCGGTCCCCTGGGACTCACTTCGCTGGGCCCAGTGGGACCTCCGGGTGTTTATTTAAAACAGGAAGTCCAGCCCCGGCAAAGTCCCGCCTTCCGCAAGGTTGAAGCCGCTGACTGGCCACGACCGAAGTTCTTCCGCACTAGGACTTCCCTGGTTGGACGGCGCAGCCTTTGCTCGCCCGGGCCAGCAGAACTTGTCCACCGGCCCCTGCTTTCTTTCCCCGGCCTGTCTCCATGCCCTACACGCCGCTGCCCAGAGCTAACGCAGTGACCGGGCCCCCCCCCAGAGCGGACCCTACCTCTTCGCCGCCACAGCCCAAACCTCCCAGGCGGTCACTGTCTCCTTCACTGCGCCGGAGCCGTGCACACCATACATCGATTGGGCGCTGCCACGTCACCCACGTATAGCCCCACCCCCGTGACGAGTCGCACCACCCCCGCTGGCTCCTGCAGACTCTGACCAGTCCCGGATTCCGCAGTACACGCAACTCCGGCCTCCCACTGGCTGGGCCGCCGCCATGGACCCGCCCCCAAGAGACGGAGGCTTAAAAGTGCCGGCACCCCAATTAGGAACTCGCGGCACAGGTCTGAGAGCCCCAGCAGAGCTGAAACTGACGTTTTATTCCTAGGAGACTGGGTCATCCTTTCTCCGGCTGCTCCTGGCTGTCCTCCTGCTTGCCCTCTTGGATGGTGTCCTCCTGCCTCTGGATCACTTCCGAATGTCGCGCGGTAGACCGCGCGGAGCTCCGCCGGCTGAACATGGAGAGCCGCTGCCACAGCACAGTGATCAGGAAGCTGTCCTCGGACCTGCGGTCCCGGCAGCCTCGGGCGTCCTTCTCGTCCCCCGCGGGTCTGGCGGCGCGGGCTCCAGGGCCATCCCTCTGGAGTGGCCTCGTTTTGGGCACCGGGGTCTCCTCTGCGACTTTGTCCTGGCAGCAGCCCATGGCCACTGACGCTTGTGGCCCTCGCCGGGCACAACGCAGCCTCTATGACGTGTGCGCCCCCTCCACAAGGATTAAGACACAGCGAGTGGGGAGGTTTTTATTCACAGGGCTGGGGGCTCAAGGCTCCGGGACACTTTTTCTTCCTCTCTTGGGTCCCCAGGGCCCTCAGGGTCTGGTCCACGCGTGGGAGCTTCCGCTTGGCAGCTACCTCCAAGGATGCCCAGAGCTCATCCACCTCTGAATCTTGGGGGGGCTCCTCGCTGCGCTCCTGCGGCAATTCCAGCTCATCCTGGTTTGGGAAGGAAGCTCGTGTCAGGAAAAGACAAGGAAGCCCTGGCTAGTAAATAAAGGCTCTGGGTGCCCAGAACCACTGTCACCTTGCTCTAGGCTATGTCACCCTTGAGATGACTCTGTCGGTACCCCTTAGAGAAATTATGGGATGGGGTAGGTCCTTGGGCACCCTGCAGCTGTGGCCAAGGGCCTCCTCTTCCCCTCTACAGGGAAACCCTCACACCTGTGCAATGGCTCCCACCTTCCAGGTTCCCAGTGGCTCACCCTCCAGTTCTCCCTGCCTGACAGGAGGAGGCAGTTCAGTCGAGATTTAAGATAAATCTGCAAAAGGTGAGCAGCCCACATTGAGAAAGAAACACAGGGAATGCAGGGGTACAGGTCTGGGCTCCAGGAGGTGGGTTAGGTTGGGCTCGGGGCTCACCTTATGCTCCAAGCCTCGAGGGTTTTGGATTCTGTGTATCCTCAAGATCCTGTCCAAGCCACAAGAGGCCAGCATCGGCTTTGAAGGGTGACACTGCAGCTCTCGGACACTGCCCGCCAGCCCCTTCAGACAGCCCAGTAGGCGCCCTGGGGAAGGGTGAGGCCAGCCACAGACATTTATGATGGAGTATTTACTGCTCAGACCACCTTATATTTCAGCGTTCAGTCCTCACAATAGCCTTAAGATGGGGTTACCAATAGTTTTTCTGTTTTACAGGTGAGGCGACTAGGGCACAGGAAGTGAAGGAGCTACTCCAAGGTCACATGCCTTTTGACGCAATCAAGGATTTGAACCCAGGCCTTCTGGCACTGGATGGGGGCTCAGTGGTTCCATGCACAGCCCTCAGGAGACCTCACTTCGTCCCTGCCCCTTCCCCTTTCCCTATACCCTTGGTCAGCTCACCTTTCCGAAAGTCAATTTCTGCCAGCTGCCCATGAGTGTTTCCTACAATGACTGAGCTGCGGAGGAGACAGGAGGCAGGTGTCGTGGGTAGAACCTGCAGGATCCCCTTCTGAGACCCACCCTGCCCCTCTAGGCACCCACTTGCCCCCTGGAGTGAGGGTCATAGCTGTCAGTGGATACTCTCCAAAGGTGGTCTCTAGGACTGGCCGGCGCTGAGGGGAGGCTGGATCATAGACACGGACCTACAGGAAGACCATGGTGTCGGAAGAATATCCACCTCCTGTACACTGCCCCCAGCACCTCCATATAATAATCCTTTCTTCCCCCTTTTCATGACTCACAAGAAATACACACCTAATTGAGTGCTGGGGGAGGGGGAGCTGTTCAGGAATGTGAGGGGAGAGGTCCCCTTTGCTCCCATCTATCAGGAGTGGGAAGATGGAAAGGTGGGCCCAATAGTTAGAGAGGTTTAGCCTGAAGGACGGAGGAGAGAGAGATCACCCTCAAGTGTTGTTTGTTTGTTTGATTTTGTTTTGTTGTTTTTTTTGAGACAGGGTCTCATTATGTAGTTGAGACTGACCTGGAACTCACTGTGTAGCCCAGGCTGGTCTCGAACTCACAGCGATCCTCCTGCCTCAGCCTCCTGAGTGCTGGGACTACAGGTGTACACCACCACGCCCAGCCCTCAAGGTGTGTTTTGAATGGAGGCACAGCAGGGGCCAGGGAGAGGATGGACAATGGCACAGCAGCCTGGGCCTCAAGACTTGAACCTAGGATAAGCCTGGGGTCCCTAGTTTGGTTCTTCATGTGGAGCTGAGAAGCTGAGGCCAGATGTGAGGAGCAGCCCTGGCCAGAACAAATCTGGAGAGTTGCATCAGGACCAGAACAGTCCATAAATGACATCTTTACCCCGTGAGCTGTTCCAGGTGGGAGAAACAGCCATAGCACACAAAACCCCACTAACAAAGGGAAAGTCACAGGCTCAGCACCAGGGCAGGGATGGGGAGGGCAGGCCCCCCGAGAGCTCAGGAAGGAAAAAGGGTGTAAAAGGATGCTGTGCTACTCCTAGGCTGGGAAGAGACGGTGCCTCACCTGGTGGTACCCTGTGCACGTGACAAGCTTCTGAGACCCAGGCAGGAACTGTATGTCCTGGTCCCAGACTGGGACCCGCAGGTCTAGCCAATCATGCCGCACCTATGGAGCAGGCCATTGTGGGTTGGGTCGGCTGCTTCCCTTCAGCCTCTCACCACCCTAGTGCCCATGTTTCAGGGCTAGTTGCAGTCTGAGGTTGTGGCCACAGCCTCTCTCCACACTACCACTCACATTCTTGGCTTTGAACATGGGCTCCTCTGACCCCTGCAGGTCCCACACCTTCAGGGCATTCTCCTTTCCCCCAGTGGCAACCACATGGGGCTGTGCTGGGTTTTGGCGCATCCTGCATACCCCAGGACCCACCTTCAGTTCCAGGAGCTGAAAAAACCAGAGATGAGTCAGTTTCAGAGTCTTTGACTTCCCTTTTCCAAAGCGCTCCCCACCTGAAGAGAAAGGGAACCTCACTGGGTCTGAGGGTGCCTCCTTGTCATCGCTGCGCCAGACTCTGAGGACCCCAGAATCCACACATGTGATGAATGTGCTGCAAGTAGAGAAAGGTACTGTTGGGATTAAGAGGCCCCAGCCCACAGCTCCAAATTCCTGGTAAGGCCTTGCTGGTCCTTCAGAGCTGGTTCCTCAGGGCCACGGATTTCAGGGTCAGTAGACTCCCTCGTAAGAGCCCAGCTTTCAAGGCAGCCTCTGGCTACCTGAAGTAGACTAGGCAGCTTCCTGTTTACCTGTTATCTCAATTTACTCAACAGTAGGAGGGGTTACCAGTTTTATAAGTAAGGAAACAGACACTGAGAAATTAAGATTTGCCACTCATGCCTGCCTCAAGCACCAAGAGTTCAATCCCTGGTACAAAAAAAAAAAAAAAAGATTTGCCACTCAGCTATAAATGTCAGATCCAGAGCTAGAAATGAAGTAATGAAGTTGGTGATACTCCAAAGCAGAGTGCTTTTTCTATTTCACAGCTAAGTCAGGGTACCTGGCCCTCTTGTCTTTCTAAATTTTGAGTTGACTCCTACTGGGGAGGAGTGTCAGTATCAGTACCTCAAAAGGACTAAAATGGGACTGAGCTGGATTTAGTGTTTTTCCAAAGTGAATCAGCAGTTTTTATTTTTTGTTACTGTTGATTTGAAAGAGGGTCTTGCTGAATACTCCAGCCTGGCCTCACTCACTGCCTGCTAGGGATTGAACGCAGATCTTACTCATGCTAACTAGTTGCTCTACCCCTGAGCTACATTTCCAGCCCCCAGATTCTACTCAAGTTTCCTATTATGGGTTTTAGACACCAATGTCAATGTCTCCATTCAAATACCCACCCCCAGAAGCCCACAGAGTCTCTTCCCAGGATCTGTGCAGCCTGGCCCTATGCCCTTTCTTCCTTATTGCCCACCTTCCTACCTGGGTTTAGGCTGTCTAGACTGCTTGCTGGTGCTGTGGTAACAACCAGCTCTCCTCCTCCACACCACGACCACTGCTCTCTCTAATCCTCCACATTCCTACAGGCTCACAGACATATACACAGCATTTTCGCTCAAGGCCCACTGATTCCCTACCAGCTACCAAAGTGCAAACTTTTTAGCTGGGCATGGCAGTGCACATGTGTAATCCTAGCACCCAGGAAGCTGAGACAAGAAGTCTGCCATGAGTTCAAGGCCAGCCTCAGTTACAGAGCAAGATCCTGTCTAAAAGAAAAGTGCAAATCTCTCAGCCTCTTAAAGCCCTTTGCATTTAGTCTCAACTGAATACAAAGACCATATTAAAATGTTTTCTTGGCTTCAGCCTTCAAATGCTATTTACTTTAATTATGTATCCTGTAGCCTGACCCCTACCAACTGCCAGTACCCATCCTTGTCTTCTGCAAAGGCAGTATCTACTTTCTAGAATGTCCTCATCCTTTACTCCACTTGTCATAATTGTACTTGAGACCCAGTCCCATTCCCTACAGATCTTTTCCAAAGCTCACCTGTCTACAGCCGTTAGAGTACATATGGAGAAACGCCATCCCTGTAACCTAACTACCAGACCTTCCTGTTACTGTGGGAATTTTCTCACCTTGTTGGTTGTTAGTCATTGTTTGGAAGAAAGCTCCATTAAGTGACTTCACCAGAGTTACGAAAAACGTTATAATGGTGTCAGGAGAAAATCCCTAGAGTCTGCAGGTTTTATTAAAGCAGAAGCTCCACCTGCAACCCCTGCACTTCTCAGGACTGAAACTCAGTAGGCATCCCGGTGGAGCTCTAGTCCCTGTGACCCATCCCAGCCTGTGTCATCCAAGGGTTTGCCGCAAGGGGTCGGCCTTACCTGTCGGCCTGGGCGAGTCCCCGGAATGTGCCCTCCCCGCCGGGGCAGCGCCTCTGGCCCTGGAACGCGCCATCCTTGGTGCTGAAACGCCTCACCGTCCGGTCCGCGCAGCCCACCAGGATCTGCGGGCACAGAGGGCAAGATGTAGGGAACGGGACGGCAGGGACAGGGACGGCAGGGGCAGGGACAGGGACGCGCCCAGGGACCTACCTGGGTCTCGTCGCTCGCGCCCCAGCACAGAGCGTTCACCGCCGCCTCGCGCTGCGGCTGACCTGTTGTCGTGAAGTTCGCCGCCAACTTCCGCTGGAGGTCCACTCCTGCAAGACGAGGTGTCAGCAACCCCGGCGTCAGGTGAGAGTGGCCCCTACACCTCCCGACGTCCGCCCCTGCACTCACCTTTCAGGATCCCGGTCTCAGTACCGACCCACACATGGTTACTGCGAGCTGAGGCAGCCGCCATAGCGGAGCTCAGCCCCGCTGCTTGAACTTCCGGCGCACGGTGTGCGTCGCCAGCCGCATTTCCGGTGCTCTCTGAATCACCGGCGGCCCTGAGCCCCCTGCTGGTTGCGCGAATGTAAAAACCCGGGGATGGGGGTTTATAACGATCCTTGCCTGCACCGGCTTACTTTGCTTCATGAAAATGAAACTGGGGTATAAGTATTTATAGAAATCTGAACATTTTTGCTCCGGAGAGGAGCGGCGTGGAGCAGTCCTCTAACAATCTCACTGTTCATTGGACAAGAAAACACCTATATCCTGTCTCAAAGACGGGTTAGAGGTGCAGTTTAGGACGGCGGCGTTGGCATTCTTTTAATAAAGGATAAAACAGGAAAAGCCTGGCAAAATGAAGATTTGGAAAATGGAGGACTGGGTGTTGTTTTCAGTTTCTCCAACGGAGGCTCGTGATGTCAAAATTAGCTCAAATTAGGCCGGGGATTAGGTTTAGTGGTTCCACCGCCTGCCTCGCGAGCGCAAGGACCAGAGTTCGATCTCCAGTACAAACCCCCACCAAAAAACAAAACAAAACAAAACAAAAAAAAAAACCCCAAAAAACTAGCCCAAATTAGCCAAGTCGGCAAGGTTAACATTTCCCGAAAGTATATTCTGTAGCTATAAAATACGTCTTCTCTTTTAAGTAACCGCTCTTTTTACTGATAGATTCTCTTTAATTAGATTCTCTTTAATCTGATTGTGAGAAGTTGCTGTTGCACATTGTAAGAATGAACCACCTGTTCTCTGATGTAGAGCTTTTGATAGAGGTGCTAAAATAACTGACCCGCACTTGGAAAACACCTCGCGACCCTGTTTTGATTGAACAAATCATATAAAACCGCTTCGAACAACTACATATAAAAAAGGACTTTCCCTTTTAAAAGCTATTGCCGTGCAATCTCCATACCTAGAATATTGAGACTCTATTACCTGGAAGGTCTTCCGCTCATGAATGAAAATAAAATCTATACATAAAACAAGTGTAAGCTCTATTTCAGATCTTGATTTTTTTTTTTTTTTTTTTTT